TTAGGAACTTGTTTTACAGGATACAAAATTCTTGGCTGACAGTTCTGTTTAAGATTAAATTCAGGACCCCAACCCTTTCTTGCTTGTAAGGTTTCAGTTAAGAAGTCTGCTGTGCTGTTAGTCTGATGGGTTTTCCTTTGTATCTTACTTGGTGTTTTTATCTCACAGCTCATAGAAGTTTTTCCTTCATGTTGAACTTGATCAGTCTGATGACCGTGTGCCTTGATGATGGCCTTTCGGCAATAGATCTCCCAGGTGTACGTTGGCCTGCTTCTGTCCATCTGGATGTATAAATACCTAGCAAGACAACGGAAGTTTTCCTCCTATATTCCCTGAAATAGGCTTTCTAGGCCTTTGCTTTTTCTATTTCTCCCTCAGGTATGTTGAACATTTTTTCTTGGGTGCTTTACATATGTAATCCCATATTTCTAAGAAATTTTGTTCAATTCATTTTTCTTTATTTTTTACTGTCTAAATTAATTCTAAAGAGTTTTCTTCACGCTCTGAAATTCTTCCTTCTCTTTGGTCTAAGAAATTCTTAAAACTTTCCACTGTGTTTTATATCTGAAAATGATTTTTTCCTCTCCAGAAGTTCTGTGGGGTTTTTTGTAGTGTATTTTTTTCCTTAGTAAGTTTCTCATTCATTTGCTGAATTTTATTTCTGGTTTCTGTGAGTTGGTTTTCCATTTTCTCTTGGATCTCATTGAAATTTCTTAAAATCCATATTTAAAATTCTTTATCTGTATTTTCAATATTTTCATTTTTAGTGGGGTTCATTATTAGAGAGCTGTTCAGATCCTTTGGTATATCCTCTCACTGTGGTTTTTCATACTTCTGGAGTTCATGTGCTGGTTGCTTATTATCTGGAACAGCTGCCACGTCTTTGGTATTTTGTTTGTTGAAATGGGACAGTTTTTTCCCCCTTTCTGTTAAGGGTTTGGCTGTAGCATCAGTTGGGTCAGGAGTTTTGGCTTTAAATGTGAGTACTTTCAGTGGGGCCTTCGTTCTGAATGAATGGCTTGGTTCTAGGCAGAGTTATTGTGGAGGCTTTCTTAATTCCTAGCTATTTGTAGGCTGTTGCAGTTGTGTACTATATGTGTGGGCAGTGCCCTATCTCTTGTTGAGATGGGGAGATGGAGGTTGTTATAATGTTTTCTCTTTGCCCACCCTGTAGACTTAACAAATTGAATTATATTGGGACTCTCAGCTTAATCTTCAAATCAGTAGGTGGTGCCTGTGGATAGGAGTCCGCCAAATTCTATAAAGTCTCTACATGGAATGTGTAGATGCTGTGTTGACCGATACAAGTTGATCTTGCTACCAGTACATGTTTCTTGCAGGAGAGAGCCCACTGCAGTGTGGTTTCGAGGACCTGTTTTAGCCTCAGTCAGTCATGAGAAGCACTCAGATGTCGCAGGGAATGGATGGGGTCCTTGATCCTCTGGAAGACTTCTTCTTAGTGCTGCACCACAGCTAAGGGGGACAAGCAAGTGAGATTGTGTCGGGATGGTTTGAGAGAGTCCAAATCTCAGAAGGGGACAGGGGTCATGTCTCAGATGCCTGAGGATAGCCACCAATTAGGGGTTGAGGTGTTCCCACCATGCCAACAAGTCTGCTTCTAGGGGAAGGGAAGTCAGGAATTCACAGTCCAGCAGACGAGAGTGGGTTTCCCTCTTCTGCCATTTCCCTTACCCCTCAGATCTCCTCTGGCATCTGGCCACAGGCAGCAGTCCAAGCCAACTAGTTCACCAAAAATGCTGCTGCAAGCTACTTTCTTCTAGCCTCCCTTTCCATGACCCTAGCCCCGTCTGAAAACATGCCTATCTTCTGAGGGGAGGGTACTCAACAAGTTCACTACAGTTCAGACCCACAGCGCACTCTCCTTTTAGTTCTGCCTGAGTGGGCTCCCTCCCTTCTCAAGGTCAGTTCACACGTGCCATGCCCCTGAAGGATGTGATGGAGTCCTGGGGGGATGGGAGAAGTCCTGCAGACCTGTCCTCCCGTCCCATGAGTTCAATCCCCAAACTGTTACAGAGAGGAATGTTTGTTTTGGTCCCGAGTTGCCCAAGGAGTGCTCAGAGAGGCTTAATTCCTTGTGCTTTGGAGTAATTGCCACTGTGCTGGAGCAGCCTGGCAGGGAAGGCCTGGGGAGGTCCCTTGGGCAGGGCCCCTATGGTCAGAGCACCCCTCAGACCACTACCCATTTTTAAGGGGAACATTGAGAACTCCGCTCTCCATGGAATCCTGGGTGTGGCAGGAACACCTACAAAGGGGAAGAAGTCGTTCCTGATTGCCCCGGTGTAATCATCGTTTGGACACCCAAGCCAGAACCATGCAGGAACCACCACAGCTGTGTGGGCAGCAGTGGCCAGGAAAGGGGAGGAGGAGGAGAGGGAAAAAAAAGGGGAGCCCTGGCACTCCGGTCCCCTATGGCACAGGAGCCCTCTGGCATGCTGTGCCCTCCCTTCAACTAGAGGCAGCCTGCCCGGAATGTCCCAGCTGTGGGATCACACAGTTCCCACAGGACTCGCTGGCCCCTGTGGGGCTGCACTCTGAGCAGGTGTTGGGGATATTTGTGTGGGGTGCAGGGGGGAAAAACTGAAGGGCCGAAGGTCCCTGGGCAGGGCAAAGGCTCACAATGAGTGTGAAATCAGTATGGTGGCCACAGCCTGGGCTTGGGTCTGTGGTGAGGGAGAAGGACCTGCAGGGTGCCAGCAGCCTTGTGCTGTGTGCTGGAGAAGCTCCCAGTTCTCTGAGGGCAGCAGCGCTTGAGCTCCTGAGGGGAGAGGAGCTGTCTTGCAGTTTGGGAGCCTGCAGACTGCCAGCAGTGTGAGGGTAGGAAAAAGAATCATCCCCAACTTACCTTTCATGGGGCTCCCAGTTCCTCTGGGGTCTCTCTCTGCCAAAATCTTGAACCTTCTTGTTGTGCCCTGAGACCTCTTCCCATGGGATCTGTGGTGGCTTCTGGCACTCCTTCCTAAGAATTTCACCTGTGCTGTGCCTTATCATCTGAAACTTTCTGTTCATTCTCATAGGATCCAGTGCCCAATGTCTCTTGTCAGCCATCCTGCTTGTATCCCTCTGTGCTGTTTCTAGTGAGGGCTTGTAAAGGTATCTTTAATAGACAATATCGATACAAGCCACACATTACTCTTTAGAATTCTGTTATCCATTTTCCCTCTAAATGGACATTGATGGAACATTTCTGTTTCCATTTCTCTCTCTCTGTAGTTATAAGGTTTCAGCTTTCAGGTAGTGGTAGATGACCATGTTTAACTACTTGAAGGTCTTATTTTATAGCAATAAAATTAAAGTCTACAGAAGAAGGGATGAAGAGCTGTTGCTCAATAGATTAATATTGCCATATAGAGACAGAAATAATTTTAGAATTTTTGCAAAGCCGCACATCAAAAGCTGCCTTGCCTCAGGAGGGCATCTCACAGGTCAGTGGCAGCTGCTTTCCAAGGTGACACTGCGTCTCAAATCTGTGTCTTTGGTCTGTTTTGTATGACAAAGCAGGTTTGTATGGAGCCACGAGATGAGAGTTGATCAAAGAGTGCCTGCCTGACAGACATACACCTGCGGCCAAAAGCAATTAGCCTAAGGGACAGTTCCTGCTTCACTACTGACTACCTGTCTCAATCCACCAAAACTAAATAAAGAAATATAGAGCCACTATATTTCTGTTTAACTTTTCTGCTAATTGATAGCTTTATCATAGATCTTAGAAGTTTGTCTTAGAAAGATTTTGTAACTTTGCTCATGTAGATACAGTTAATTAAGGGATCTCTAGAAGCTTTTTGGAAGACTTTTAACCTTAGATGAACTACATGTTATGTAAATCTGTTATCCCTGACAACCCATCAGTGTACCAATATATATTGATGTGAAACTGTACTCAGGGTCTCACAGCTCCCTGGAATGCTCGGGGTCTCCCAATCCCCCACCTTTTATAAATTCTATACTTTATAAAACTGTACTTTCATCTCTGTGTATTCTTTTATTTCTATATTCTATTATTTTCTATTATTTCCTTATCTTTTGCAACAACCCATGCCTAAGGGACCTGATTTTTTCCTGGGAGCATAGCTAACTCCCTGCAAAGAGTAACTGCTGAATAAATATTAGTCAGTATCATTACAGATGTGCTATGAACAGAAGTGTCTGTCATATATCGTATTGTTTTGAATGTTTTTCCTTTTCTTCCTTGGTTTAAGTTCATAATTCCTTGACTGGAACTGTCTCCTTTTTTTGTTGTTTGTGTGTTTCTCCATGCTTCCCCACTTTTTGAAATGGTTTTATGCCCACCGAAATTTTTCTTGCAGAAGACATTTCTTCAGTGTCTGTCCTTTCATTCCCTCTCTGTCTCCATATTTAGTTACAGCTTTCTATTTAATAGCTATGTGTGCCTTTCTTTCATTCATCATTGTCCAACAGGGTTTATTTCTGTTTACTTCTCTCTTTCTTGCAAAGACTTGAGTGGATACAATCATTTATCTTTAGCTTTTTAACAAACACAATAGAAGTGACTGATACTATTTGAATGGCAACTTTTTAAATTAAGATACCACTGAAAACTAAACTCCCACATGTTCCTGAGCAGGAGATAATTCATAGAAATATAAATCATATGAACACATTACAAAACATAACATGTAATTAATTTAACTTTCTTAATCCTAGTTATTTCAATAATGCTCTAAGCTACCTGGGAAAACTTTTATCCTAGGTTATTTTTGTTAAGAAAATCATCTAGTGGATATTATAGTGTTTGTATAATAATGAATTAGGGGTGAGGGGAGTAACATTTGGAGGACATCTGTATGAGCTGTCATAATCTTCTCCCCCCCAGAGAAGATGTAGGTTAGCAAATGAGAGAATTGAGGGTTGAGTCTACATCCGAGTGACTCTACAATCTGATCGTATAGTAATGGTCAATATTATACTTAAATTATTCACTTTGATACTTGTTATTCTTAAAACTGTTGTTTTTGTTCTAGAATCTTCCACAGCCAAGATTAACAAAGGTAATGACTGCTTCTCAGCAATCCATGACAAATTGTAAGCTATTTGAAGACTGCGTATTCTTGTGTTATTCATTGTTAATTAGTTACAATTATTTTCATATACTCTTTATTTTTATTGTAGTAGAAGCAAAATATGGTACTGTGAGAACAGAAAATAGAACTGTGTTTGAGGACAGGATTTCTGATCATCAAAATGTGGTCGAAAGTCTTCCCACAACATCGGTTGAAGTCCTGGGCTTCCATTCAGCCACCTGGCCCTGGTCTGAAACCTTCCTCTAAGTCTTTACCTAACCAAGATCTTACAGAGGTAACCTGATTTTTAAAAAAATCTCTTTTTCCCCATGTTTTTCACATATCACTCCCAATCCTCATCATGCTGATAAGGATCTTAGAAAGAAATGGATGGCCTCAAGGTCACCATAGAAACCAGTGTAATCACAAGAGAAAGGTGTACAGAATTGAGATTTATAAACTTTGGTGGAAGTAACCAATTATTGGGGTTGGCATTGTGGGAACAAAGAATTAGAAAGCAACCCAAAAGGATTGCTCAACAAATATGTGCATGAGGAAGGGGATGAAGGGGAGGAATTCATGTGAGAGGGACAAGATAAATAGAACGATTGAATAAGACAGTCAAGGTGACAGATTGTTATAAAAGCACATCAGAAATAGTGGAGTTAAATGAGAGCAGGACCTCTCCACATTACAAAATATGATAGAACTTGTTTTAAATGCAAATTTAGAAAAGAAAGACAGCCGATGAAAAAGATCCTCAGATTCTTCAGAATGACACACACTTGATGTTTCTGAAGAACTGAAAGAAAATTTAAGAATGATTTCCATGAACATTAATCAGTTGTACATTTTAAAATTGCCACAAGAGAATAATTGAAATATTGCAAGAATATAGAAAAGATAAATAGTTGAAGTGATGGATATCCCAATTAGCCATATGATGCTATGAATGTATCAAGTTATCACAATACCCCCAAAATATGTACATCTATTACGTATCAATTAAATGCAATTTAGAAAGCAACTAAAATTTAATCCTCCCTTTGTTACCAGTAGCTCATCACTTATCCCCAAGTCCCCATCAGAATAATGAGGACAAAGAAGTATGAGGAGCAGGAAAGAGAGATTAGCAATTTGCCAGTAAACAAGGAGGATGGAGACTCCTGTCTAAAATGCCTCATCCCAATCATAAGGGGAAATACAGAGCTTTTCAATGGAGGGCTTTTAGCTTCAGGCAATTTCTGTTCAACTACAGTTGATGATTCTGATTCTTCCCATCTCTGGGGAAGATAATCTCCGTGAGGTCCACCCAGACCTCTGCCTGCCCCAACCGGCCTCAGTTGGGCAGTTCTGCTGAGCCATCTCCTATAGTACAAAGAACAAAAGACACTCCCTGCCTCTCCCAACCACTGGCCAGAGGCAGGATGTAGGTTTTAGTTTTCAAAAAGAGTGAGAACATTTTAAACAGAAGAAACATTTTTACCATTTTTTTCAGGCCATTCTTAATCATATTCCCCATTGTCAATTTTATCCTTCCATATCTTCTTCGGTATCTATGGGAGGAGGGGTGATGTCATCATTGAGCTACTTTTTGTTGAATTGGGTGATGTTTTAGGTGGAAGGTTTATATTTATGTATGTCCTTATAAAGCTTTGGCAGTATATTTACAACAGGAGATTACCAAGTGAATAAAAGTCATAAGTAGTATATACTGTAAGTATATATAGTAGTGAGGATGGACAAGGCAAAATGGACTGTCGCCTTGTACACAATGTCTGATACAGGGCTGGTTTAGAAAGGAAACATGGGACTCTGAGCACAGAGCTATTAGTTGGCCCCTGTAGGTGATCCGAGAAACCAGCTTCTGTAAATTTAGAAATCTTATACAGAAACACATGGGCCAAATGAGGTTTAGGGTAACAAACCCAGTAGTAGTAAGACGGATTAATAGGAGAGGTGATTGCCTGGGGAAATCCTCACTAAGAAGTTGTCTATCTTATAGACAGAACAAATAATCAAAGAAAGGTTGGTAAAAATATCAACATTTTTACTTTTTTTTAATAGATATTTTAGATCACCTAAAGGCTGGCCCCTCCACTGGGGTCTTGGGTCCTCTTCTTCCATGGGACACCTCTTTACTCAGGTGTAATCGACCCCAGATTTCTATTTTTCACAATTTTAAAGAGGTGTGAGTTGTTGAGGCACCTTATAGAGTGTCTTTTACTTCTCTGTTCCTAACTGTGGCGGGGACCTAAATGAAGCAAACTCAAGTATAGTGGTTAGTCCCGACCCACTTGTTTGACGTGTTATTTTTTTTACCCGTGCTTCTATTACCACACTTACCTCAGGTTGTTTGGAAGGGTCACTCATAAACTATTTTTTAGGGCCTTAACTTAAGCCTGATTTTAAGTGCTATCTTTATATGGAGGAGAGGAAGTGGTAGTATCTTATCCTACTTTTCTGCATTAGTTCTGTGATGTGTGTGAAAGGCGGCTTTACTCATCAGCTACCTAACATAGGACAAGACACTATCAAACAGAAAGTAAGGGAAGTAAACTCACAGCACATAATTGCCCCTTGGAAGACAAAACTCACAACTACCCCCTTTGCTGTGTTTAATTAAACACCTGTGACCAAACTCATTGTCTCTAAGAGTTTCCTTTTCGTAGCCTTGAAGAGCCCTCCGTGGACAGTAGGGTGTGAACTCCCCACTCCAACTCTCTGCCTCAGTTCCTGTCAAAAAACAGATTCCAAGGACTCAGATAAACCTGCCTCACAGAGAAAATAAAGCAAAGAGCACCTGCAACAGCTTCGCCACCACTTCTGTTTGCTGTCAGTCTGTTGAAGCAGAAGGATAAAACGCCATGTCTACCCTTTAAAACAGCAAGCAGGCCGGGTGTGGTGGCTCACGCCTGTAATCCTAGCACTCTGGGAGGCCGAGGCAGGTGGATCATTTGAGCTCAGGAGTTCAAGACCAGCCTGAGCAAGAACAAGACCCCGTCTCTACTAAAAAAATAGAAATAAACTGGCTGGACAACTAAAAATATATAGAAAAATTAGCTGGGCATGGTGGCACATGCCCGTAGTCCTAGCTACCAGGGAGGCTGAGGCAGGAGGATCTCCTGAGCCAAGGAGTTTGAGGTTGCTGCTGATGCCAGGGCACTCCAGCCAAGGCAAGAGAGTGAGACTCTGTCTCAAAAAAACAAATAAACAAACAAAAACTGCCAGCAACTTTCCCTCAGCTGCCTGGCACTTCCTTCCTTCCTCTGTGTGCCATGGCCACTCCCTCCTTCAATCTCTCTGTTTCTTTCTTTCTCAGAAAAATAAACAGACTTTTACTTCTATATATCCTAATCGCTGTGTTTGAAATCTTTCTCCAACTGCCATGAACACTAAGTGAGTTTTCCACTCTTACAGTAGGTGATTTCTGTTTTAGATGTAGGGCTCAGTTTATTTGTTGGGTGACCTCCAACAGAAAGGAGGGTCTGTTGTCCCTCTGTGTGGAGGAGGAGAGCCTGTGAACACCTTGACGACCTGAGGGATCACTGAGTCCACCGTGTCCAGCCTTGCAGAAATGCTTCACCGGGTTTTCACTGGGGGTCTACTCAGAGAAGTCCATGGGTGACCACAGGACCTTGTGCAGCCGATTCAGGTGTAGCTGGTGGGAAGCAGGGATTCCGCTGACGGGCACTGTCATGGAGAAGCCAAACACAGTGGTGTCTTGAGCTGTTGTGTTGTCTCTGTGGCTACATGTCCACCGTGTCTGTCACCACATGTCATTCTCTATCTCTTTGGCCTCTTTTCCTGGACTGTTGGTGTCTGCCATCCCATCGTCCTCCAAGGGCTGTTCCTGCTCTGTGCGGGGTACACTCGCAGCAACTCCACCACACACGCAGGAACTCGGCGAAGGCCGTGTTTTGAGACAGCAGCTCCTAGTAGTAGCCCATCTCGGAGTAAGTTCCTTCAGAGGATTTTGCCAACTTCCAACTCTTTTTCTGTGCAGGTAGGATAAGTCTCTATCCAGCCTGAAAAGGTATCTATCAATACAAACTTAGGCATCTGGGTGAAATTGCCAGTCATTGTAGGTCGCTGTTTTCCTTGGACTGCCCGAGTACACAAAGTTTGTTATAAACAGGGTCCTCCCAAGTGAGGTCTCCCCAAATCTATTAAGGCATCAAGTCCATAATGTGTGTATTCATGTATGTGTCTCATGAGAGTCTGAACCAAAGCAAGTACATTTAGAGTGTGTATAAATGTTTACCTTTTTTTCTCTGGGTAACTGTCATGGTTAAAGCAATTAGCTCAGCTTTTGGGGCTGAAGTCCCAGGTGACAATGTCACTGACATGATCACTGCCCTTTGTTGTCCATAAAGCTTTCTCATCAGTGAAAAGATCCCGATTTTGTTCCGGCATCGGCTGATCTGACAGATCCATCTTGCTAGAATACACAGTCTCCAGAACTTCTAACAGTCTTGTTGTAAAGGCTAATTTTTTTTTTTTTTTGGCTGGCAAAAGGGTGGCAGTATTGAGAATAAACACAGTCTTTACTAACAACTCACAGGTAGTTGTCACTGACCAGAGGCAAAGAGAACATCCTCTCACAGTATTGTTCAGTGGCTTTGAGAAGTCTGCCACTGGCCTGGATGTCTCTCAGCAGCTATAGTAAGACTCTAAGGCTCATTTTTTGTTTTTTGTTTTGCTGACGCCTGGGTGCCTCCCAAAAGAGTCTCATTTCATTGATAACAACCTTCACCATCAAACACAAAAATATTTTCCTATCACAGCAGCTCCAAGGTCACCAAAAAGATGGAATGCCCCTATTGGTGTCCGAAGTTTTCTCATAAGTAAAAATGAAACCATCAGCTCAGACTTCCTTAGGCTGCTCATTAGAGCTCTCTGGGCTTCCCAGACAGCCCCATGAGTAACTTTCTGTATTCTAAGACAGCATCAATAACAATACTTGCAGTTAGTCATGTGCATTCTAGTGTGTGTACTCTGGGAATCAGTCTTTAAATTCTCTCTCCCCCTGGGATTCTAATGTGCAGGTGAGTTTGAGACTCACTGGGCTACAGGAAATGTACTGAGAACACACACACACACACACACACACACACACACACGCTAGATTTAATGTCTTAAAATGTGTCTGCTCAAAAATACCAATTGATAATTTCATCTCTTTTTATATAAAAGGTCACAGGGAGAATATTTACTTCAAATGAAAATGTCTTCTGAATCACAGAAATGATCTAGTTAAAGGGACTAGCTCAAATAAAAGTCAAGGTCTAATTTATAAACGAGGTTTCTAATCCCCTTCTCCCCACAGTTCCTTCTTGCAATTTAAATCACATAATGGATTGTCATAAATGGGATCACAGCTTCCTGCAGGGACCTTGCTCTAATTGTTGGTTGACTCCTGATTAAGGACCAAGCATGACATAAATTAATAAGAGATACGAGCAGCAGTCTGTCAGAAAAGCAGCTATTCCGTGGTTAAAATCTCCTTATTTCATAGAGTAAAACCACAGTTCAAGTACAGGACACGGGCATCATGTGTCCCACACACGGATTGTACCAGAGGTACCTAAACTTACAGTAAATGAAGATGTGGCACATGAGAGTATAGCCACAATGTGTCATAAATTTACCCTAAAACTAAATAGTGTCACTCTGATGTTTACCTGAAAATATTGTTCTGAGAATTATGACGGGATGATGTATGTGAAAGAGTTATTGAAAATAACAATTATAACCACCGCATTTTAAGTACCACAAGACCCTGTACCTAGCACTGAACAGACCTCGCTTTACTTGGTTCTCATGGCAACTGGTTGAGGAATTTACTCATCCCTTATTCAAGGGGACACTACTAGGAAACCAGGACTGAACCCACCTCTGCCCCCCACCATGTTTCCTTCACATAAGTCCTGCTGTGCCTTTCACACACTAGAGTGTCACATGACTAACTGCAAGTATTGTCATTGATGCTTTCTTAGAATACAGAAAGTTACTCAGAGAATTATGTGGGGATCCCAGAGAGCTCCAACAAGCTGCCTAAGAAAGTCTGAACTGATGGTTTCATTTTTACTCATGAAAAAACTTCTGATACCAATAGGGGCATTCCATCTTTCTGGTGACCTTGGAGCTGCTGTGATAGGAAAATAATTTGGTGTTTTTGATGAAAATTGTTATCAAAAGACCTCAAATTTCAACTCTCTTTATGGAGTGACTTTTCTAGGATCTATTAAGTGAAAAAAACAAGTTTTCGGAGATAATAGGCTAAACTTATTTCTTATGTAAGAAAGAGGAGAAATATACACAAAGACCTATTTGTTTAACTTCTTATATGGTAGGATAAATGCAAAAACCAATAAGAGTGGTTACTCTAAAAAACTAAAACAGAAATGGTTATTGTGGGAAAGGAGGGACAGGTTGGAAAGGTGGAATGGAAGCCAGATACTGAATTTTTCTCATTTTGTTGATTTGACTTTGGACTTGTGTGAATGTTTTCTATAATTAGAAAATAAAATTCAATCAAAATAGAAGCAATCTTTCAAAATCTGAAGCAAAGAGAAACAAATTAATGTTGTTAATTTCTTGCACATAACCTTGTTGAGCTAATGGGTCAACCACATGGACAGGAACTATTTCAGGTGTCTTAAAAGCACTGTGACTCAAGGGAACATCCCTAGTGGATTACGCTTTACTAGACCAAACAACTACAAATGAATTTTAAATTGTGTTCAGTAATAATACTTACTAACAGTATTTATTTGGTAATAATATTGGCATTGTTCATCTGAAACATATTTGGTTTGGTGCAAAAGTAATTGTGGTTTTGGACCATGAATTTTATATCATTATAACGAGGCTCAAACACATCTTTATTAACCAAATTAGGAGACATTACAATCAGCACATTTTTTGCCAATGAGAAATAAGTTTGTTTATTCCTATAGTGTAAAAATCCGTGCTTCAGGATTCAGCAAACACTTAGAAAACATTTTCTGCATCCTGCTGGTTGTGGAAGAGTTTTCTCTGCAAAAAGTTGTCGAGATGCTTGAAGAAATGGTAGTCGGTTGGCGAGAGGTCAGGTGAATATGGCGGATGAGGCAAAACTTTGCAGCCCAATTTGTTCAACTTTTGAAGCGTTGGTTGTGTGACGTGCGCTTGAGTGTTGTTGTAGAGAAGAATTGGGCCCTTTCTGTTGACCAGTGCTGGCTTCCAGCCTTTCAGTTTTCACTGCATCTCATCAATTTGCTGAGCACACTTCTGAGATGTAATGTTTCGCCGAGATTCAAGAATCTATTCCAATATCAAACGGCAAATTTCAACAATGCTAAAACTGCAAGTACTTTTGCACCAACCTAAATATATGTGTATGTATATATGTGCAAATAAATAATTACATTAAAGTTATTAGGAAAGAAGATTTTTAGTTTTAAAAAATGCAAGTATAAAATTAAACAATGTATATAAATCACTGTAATTCTAAATTTAAGTTGACAATATTGTTATGAAATCATGATTTATTTTCTCTTATAAATGTATTTCCCACCATTGTCCACTAACAAAGTCTATAAATAATCTAGCAATGCACATTTCTGTTACTCTGATATTTGCCTCTAAATGCCAGCTTACCATGAAAGAAACCATGCAGAAATGGCTGATTTTAGGTCTGCGACCTAAACCTTACAGAAATGGCTGATTTTAGGTCTGGGACAAGAAGTGTACAGGATGAACCTAGCATACGTTGATTTACTGGAAAGCAAGGAGACTATCAAAGACTTTTGGAACTGCATAAAAAGAATTCTGGAGCCAACTTTAAGGGCTGTCACTGGACAAAGATGGGAAATTCTGTGTATCAAAAAGAATAATAATGCCAATAAATAGAAGAACTACAATGAATTGCATATATTAAAAATCCATGAGTTAATTATAATACTAAAAGAACCCTCCTT